GGCTTCCTGCGACTGCCCACCGGGAAGAGCTGGTGGCTGTCTTCATTCACTGCACCTGGGAATTAGGAATACTGCAAAAAGTAGGCTTGGAAAGCCCAACGTAAGTCAAGTCCTCCCTGCACGATGCCCCTTGGACTTTGATGGCATCTACACGGTTGCCTTTATCAGTCTGATGTGTAAGCTCTTCAAACACTGAAAACAATTTTCCTTATTTTGAAAAAACTCTTTTCTCTAAAGTGTCTTCTAGTGTACCATATTCAGGCTTAACAACTGAACTTTTTACCACCCTCTCCATTAGTTTGCCCAGGACATTCAGTATCTTACCAATGTAATCATTACCAATGTAATGTGAAGAGCATTTCAGACTTCTGGAGTTTCAGTTTCCTAAGTCAAAAATCGACAACCAGGAAGATCTCCAATCAGGTTTTTGTTTTTAGAACCAGAGAGTCCATTTACAGAGCAGTAGGTAAATACTTAATATCAATACATAAGTAAATATTTCCTTTGTAACAGATGTCAATGCCACTCTGATGCCCAATGGCTTAACACAGGAATCATCTTCTGATACTCTCAAACATTTCTGTGTCTTTTATGTTGCAATAAAAGATCAAAGTTTTAGGTCATGATGAAGTTTTACAACCTCAAAGCAAATCAAAAAGAAGAAAGATGTTCCAACAGCCTTCTTCAGATTAACTATTAGCAAGTGCAGTGGTTGCAGAGGCTAGAGAGGATAAAAGCTGCAGTAATTGTGAGCCAAGATGACTTGATAACAATATTCAATATTGTCACAAAGAAAGACTGGTTCTTTTAATCATGCCAGAGGAAAGAACAGTAAATAGCCCTGTAAACATGGGTGTGGGAAGAAAACAGGGGAAGTGCTATAATGTCACCTTTGTGCAGAAAAGGTGAGCGACCTAGAGAACATCAGGATCTTCCATCGCTGCAGAGATGGTGGAATAAGCCATGACTGGCAATGGCAGAGGAAATCTTAGGATCCAGCCCAGCTGATCAGGTTAGAGCACAGATCACTGCTGAGTAATGTATTTATGAGTTACCAGCACAAAACAGGAGCGCTCTTGGGATGATTAGAGGAAGTTGTAATGAAATGGGCTGGAGAGAATCATCAAGGGAGTCCTGTGAGACTTGGGGAAAGAAAGGAAAAGCATAAATGCAGGAAAAAAACCTCAAAAAACTAACCCAGTGACCCACAAAACAGGAGCTGCATTAGTACAAACTTGTGATTCACTTTAGTTACTTTCCCTATAATACTGCTTTATTGGGTACTGTTGTTCAGTAGAGGAAGCCCCTGTGCCACTACATCCTAAATTGTGGAAGGCAACTTAATGGACATGTAAACTGGAGCTTGGTGAATATCTTCAATTAAGCACATTGGTCTGCAACGCACTGCAAGAACTTGACTGAGAGACTATCTCCCGTCTTGGATTATTCAGAGTTTGCTTTTAACTGATCAAAATTTATGTATGAAAAAAACAATGTATTAATTTATATACACTGGAGGGCAATAAAGGAGCACAGTTACATAAATAAAGCAATGAAAATGCCATTAAAATTAAGCCAGTATTTTCCTTTTGCCACAAGAGTTGATGGATGGCTAATTATTCTCGTTTGACCCAAGATTTACTTGAAATGAAGTCCTCTTTAAACTTGTTTTCCTGCCCCCATTGTTAATCTTGTCTATCAGAGCCTCCCACAGTAGTTGCTCTGGGTGAGCTGTTCTTTCCCCACCTTACTCTCACTGCCAGCTCCTTCCTCTTTTTCCTGTTTATCTGCTTCTCATTTCCTATCATCAAGCACTAGATCATTACACTGTGATATGTAAGATTTGTTTCCTTCTCCCTTCTCATCAAGGACTTCTAACTAATATTTCTATTGTATCTCCTAATTAGCCTCTTCTGAGGCAAGCTTTATGCTGCTTTCCTGTTTATATTTTTCTGAAAGAATATTAGTAAAACTTTTTATAGCATGTTCAAAAAATCTTTAAAGCATGATTTCCTTCCTAGACTCTGTGAGTGGTGTGGGAATAGCCCATTTATTAAGTATTGAATTGGATGCCTCATGCTTTCCTGTCCCTATTTACTCTGCTAAATTTGGGGAGTTGTTTCTGGATATCCTGCCATAAGGAAACAAATAAACTGAAAAAGTGGTGAAAAGAAAGTCAGTTAGTGAAGGACTGCAGAAAAGTCCAACATGACTTGTTGATAAAAACCTGAAAACTCATCAAAGTGCCAGAGCTGAGCTTAATGGAAGCCAGAGCAGTGTGGAAAATTACTTATTTGAGGAATTTACAAAGAAAAGACAAGTACTGTTGGCTTCTTTCCTGTTGACCAACAAATCGTTTTGCTGTGAATTTTTTAGCTCTGGGAACTACAGCTTTTCAGAGACTTCTCTGAACATAGCAGAGTTACCAGGCTTGGTCTGGGAGTACTTGATGCGTCCATTACTTGTTTCCACACAAACTGTTTCCAGCTACCCAGCTGACATCTCTTCCCCTTTTTATCAACCTCATCCAGAAAATCCAACAAAGGATTTACAAACATCTCTCAATTTAGGCAGAATCTCTCCCTCATTCAGCTAAAGATGCATTTGAAATTATGTGGCATTTGACTGGTTAGAGGAGCATTTCTGTAAGGCACAGAGGCTGGTGTCATTCCCAGCCCTCACCTTTTGCATCCAGCCTGATGCCCACAGACTCACCATACTTTGAGCAAAGAATTTCTTCCTAACATCTAACCTAAATCTCTCCTTTGCTAGTTTAAAATCATGGATATTTTAAAAGGAGGTGCCATTTGACCTTTACTTGTGCTGAGCCTCAAAACACATGCAAATAAATTGCCCCAAGCCTAAGCCTCACATGACAAAACTGCAAGCTGATGGCACACTGGGGAATGTGACAGCTGCAGCAGAAGGACAACACTGATCACCTGCTTGGGAACACCACTGGACAGAGAGAGAGGACTTCTGTCCTGGGGTTTCTCACAGATTTTCTACAAAGCATTACCTGGGGAACTCACTTTTCAGAGAAACACTTTCACTACCAAGCATCTCCCTTCAAACACATGTACTCTCTTTTAAATTTGCCAGTAGCTTTTTCTCTTCAGGCTTGTGTTGAGCTTTGGAGACAAAATGAAACTGAATCTCAAGTCACCTTATTTACCCTAAGCCCACATTATCTTCACTTTCATGCTGGACTCCAAAGTACATTTCTGTGAGCTGTTGCTGTCACACATCAAACTTCAACCACTTCAGCGTGACCTGGGAGAGGTGAAGGAGGAAGGCAGCCAAACAGCACACCTGGCAGCCTAAACCTCTGCCACTCACTGACTAATGGAAGGTGCGCAATTATCACACATGGACTTGGCTCAACCCTGAAACAGCAAACAGGAAGTGGACAGGGCATGGAGATGTAGTAATACTTGAAATATAGAAAGAAAGCAGCAAAAGAGATGTGCAGATCTCTCTTGTCCTCAGATTTGCAACAGGAAACGGAGTTTGAAGTGGTCAAGCATTATCCCTTTCAGCTGGCAGCAGCTCTCTGAAGAGCAAAGCAGCTGCAGCCAAACCACCCAGCGATACCGGCTTTGTGCAGACTTGCCCTTGTTCTGGCTTCTGACCAGACATTCCTGCTTTCCCCTCCTCCCTGCAGTTTTCCAGCCACCTGCTGCCACTTTCAAATTTCTGCTGCTATATATATTCTTTTTAATCTCTTCTGAATCCCGCCCATATTTTCTGAAGGGGAGATGAAACTGAATTTTTTCCAAGGAGGTTTTTCTAAGGAAGCAAGTTCTTTGTGATGTCAGGCTATTAATCTTTTTTAGCTTCCCTTCATATTTGAGAGAGGGAAGTGATCCAAAAAGCTTTAAGTTTCTACATGCAAAAGATCACTGAATCATTGGATACTCAGCATTGGAAGAGACCCACAAGGATCATTGAATTCCAGCTCCTGGCCCTGTGCAGGACAGCCCTAAGAACCACACCATGTACCTGAGAGTATTGTCCAATCACTGCTTGAACTCTGTCAGGCTTGGTGCTGTGCCCATTTAATACTGATGCTGTGAAGACAAATGGAGTTGTTTTTTCTTCTTTCCCTTCACTGCTGGGACCACCAGACAGAAGGATATTACAGCTGGGTATTTCACTGAGATACAGCTAGGGACAAAAACTTGGCCTTGCTGCAGGGCAGCGAGAGCAGGGAATTCACTCAGATGAGACTTGTGGTCAGTATGAGGTGTGACCAAGCATACTTTTATGGACAGATGTGCACACAAAGAAATATAAAATCTGATTGCCTGCAACAGGTGTGCAGGAAGACTATCTCCCTGCAGGAGCAGATGTCAGTCTCATGAAAGTCAGCATTTTGTTTCAGACAGGTACAGGCCAGTCTGCTTATCAGGCAGCAAAGCCCGAATTGGTGAGTCAAATTTTAGCAACAGCTGCGGTTTGTTTCTTGGTGTAGAACAGAGAAAAAAACAACCCCCCCATAAAACTCCCTGCACTAGCAGTTTCTCAGACACTGCCTTGAGCTTTACTAGCCTTCAGTATTCCAGCAAACTCTCTTCCATGACATCCCAGGGGCAGCTGACTTCTAGCCACAGAGCAGTGTGTGACCCCAGCCTGAACCACAGGAAGTCACAGGCTGTGGAGGAGGTGATGGGAAATTGCAAATTATTTTCATTTTCTAGATCTCCATCATAAATGCTTTTGGCAAGGTTTACTACAAGATAAGGAACAGATAACAAAGCATTTCCTCAGTCTTAAAATTAGGTAATTATTACTAATAAAATAATGACTACTTTAAAAAGTAAAATAAAACAAATATAAGACCCATGGTCATTAGAATATTACATTAACACACAGCACACCGGCTTAATACGTGAATGTATCAGTTTTCTGTTATATCAAAGAGCATATACCTTCGTACACAACATGCAAAGGTTCTGATTTCAACTCCAAATAGTCACTTTATATTTACTATAAAAATATTAAATGAGATTTTTGAAAAGCGATCCTCCAGATGCAGTCTCTAACATGTTAACTGCACAGAAAACACAACTTTTGGGAGCAACTGTAAACCACAGAAGGAACGAATTCTTTCTGATGCAAATCTTTATCGACCAGAAACAGACTGGCTTCCTAATCTCCAAGCTCCTTTTCAACACAGGTATCTTCCCTCAACTCAGTTCTTCCTGATATTTTACTCCCATATCAATGCTCCAGAAAGTTTCACAGGCAATTTCTAAAACATCCTGCCTTCAGCATACCTAACAGAGGTATCAAGGTGCTCACTTGTAAAGCTGCAGCAGCCTGAGTTTCCCACCTGATGAAGGATATTTTTCGGTGAAAAGGTGTAAGATCACAGCAGTGTGTCCAGCTCAGAAACTCATTCCCAGGGCTTCCTAGAGTGCTCTGTAGGGCACAAATACAATAAGCACGTGGACCTTTACATATTAATGGCACTGACATGAAAACACTTCACAGTTAAACTGTACATCTGTAGGGAGAGATTGCGATTTATTTGTAGTTCATTAAAAAACATTTTAAAAATACAGGACTTGAGCTCAGCTTCCTTTACATAACGTGCATTGACAATGCAAACCATCCTTCTTCTTTCTGCTTTTCTACCTGTAAAAGAAGAAACCAGTTGAGATTCATATACAGTAAATTTCCCACAGACTTCTGTGTTAGGACTGTCTGCCGTTGGCACCATGGAGGGAGTTACACCACCTACCAAGCCACATCTACCTTAATTTCAAATTTCCCTTCTAAGAATGTATAGTTTGCTGTCAGGATAGGAAGTCCTGGACCCTAACTCTGCTCTCTTTATCAGTCCTTATTTAGGTTATTTTGGACACCTAGAGACAGGTTATTAATATGTCCTCATGGTTGCTTTCAAGCCTGTAAACAGCTCTTATAACTGGTTTATAACACTGTACCACTGCAGAGTTCCCTGTGAAAGCATCTCACTGCAGATTTCCCTTTTCTTTGCACATCAGGAGTCAGCAACCTAGACTGGGGCTTTCTCTTTACATTTGGATTTATTCATCCTTCAGCAACTGACTTGTGCAACAGCTAGGTAAGAGCTTGCCTGCCTTCTGACTGTGAGTCTACCAGTACATCATAATGATGACTTGAGATTCTCTGGAGCCACCAGGAAAGACTTCCAAAGGTTTCCAGTCCTAACACACAAAGATGCCACAGCAAAAAAGGGTTACTTATAAACAACACTGTGGCAGAAAATAATGAATGTCACTGGTTCTCAGTGTCAATTTGTCTGTAATCCAACCTGCCACAAACCGATTAATAATAGCCCTGGGATATTTAAAACAGGACAGAAATCTCCTCCCTTCATCCATCTTATGATTATCTTTTCCCTTTTATGACAACATATTAAAATTTTCTGGCTGAAGATTTTTCACTCTCACCTTTGGTCTTTGGCTGACAGAAGTTAATTTGGCACTGTCTGACATGGCACTTAAAGCTGAAAAAGGTTTGCTGGAGTCTCCTACAGACCTAGAAATATTCAAAATAAGATTGAAAAAGTGAAAAATTGAAATGACTACTAGAATATTATCTCTGATCCTGAGTTAGAGCCCCTCATCAGCAATCTTAACAACACATGTCATCTGTCTTTTGTCAGATTGCAGATATTTTAAATACAAACAGAGGAATTTATGAAAAAGCTATTAGACCTTTGTCCCACTTGCAGAGTTTAATGTGACAAAGTCAGGGAAAATCCACAAAACCAAAAAACCACATGGCAGTTTCTCCACTGTGTTCAATTTCTGCTGCATGGGTAATTAAGATACTACAGAAATGAAATAGTAAAGGTGAAAAGTGAAAAAAAAGTGAACTTTTACCTTCTTATACTGGTCATACTGGCATGGGGAATACTGTCATCCTTGGAGCTGTCCACAGCCACTGCTACGGGAACAGACACTTCAACTGTCCTTGAATTTTCTAGGCAATAAATAATTGCTTGATTCTGATGAGAACACAGCAACATTGCACAACATTCATTGTGATTTACCATTTTTTTCAGAGGCATCACAACCTCTTTGCAACTGCACAGAATATACAGACCAGAAATAAAATACCAGGTTAAACATCAACCTCACACCCACTTTCTGAAAATGACTGACAATGAAAGCAGAGACTCAGAGCAACTACAGACAATGCTCACATATATAGAATGATTCTTCCACGGTTAAATTTTTTGTGGTTTTTGACAATTAGAGGCTTAGAGATTTCTGATCTCTCACCTCTGTTTCTTTAAGATTTTGCTTACCATGCTGAATTTACATTACAACAGCTAAACAACCACTGCAAGTGTCATGACCCAACCCATGAGTCACTGCATAGGCACCTGTATGCAAATGCCCACACACTGCTCCCTCCTCCCCCTCCTTCCTCTCTCCAAGTCCTTCCTTCTTTATATATCCTGGGTGGTTGGTGGTTTCACAAGGGGAAAGGACAGGTGTCCCAGACAGAGCATGTGTACATGGTCACATGCAGTTCTGCTTGTAATGACAATGACTCCATGAAAATATAAAGCAGCTCAGACCTCCTGCAAAGTAATTTTTTTATAGTTACATATGGCAGCTAATCAATGAATCTTGAACCAGAAAGAATATTCCCTAAGCTAATTTACCTCTTTACATGACTGGAAGCTCCAGTTATTCCCTTCTATTAGCACAGGCAGTAACTGAGCAAGACTGATGGAACTAAGCAACTGAGCAAGTCTGATGGAAGGAGTACCCAAAAGACAAAAACTAAAATGTGGTTGAGATTAGGATGACCACTCTGCCATGAGCTTTTAGAAGCCTGATGTAAATAGTTTAGCCTTTTTCACCCAAGATTCTGCACAATAGAGGACTGATTAAAAAGCCCAGTACTGTCCACCAGTGACTATCACAGAATAGATTATGTCTTGAAAAAGACATCTGAGATCATCAACTCCAAGCTTTGAACACCACCAAGGCACTGTGTGCCTCATCCAGTCTCTTCTTAAGAACCTCTAGGGCTGCTGACTCCACCACCTCCCTGTGCAGTCCATTCCAATGCCTGACAACCCTTTCTGTGAAGAAGTTCCTACTAATGCCCAAATGTAGGATCTGTTCTTCAGACAAGAGCATAGCAAAGAACAGGCTTAACATGAAGCACAGTACTTGCAGCAGACTAATTACTTAGAAGATAACTTTAGCAGAGGTTTAGCTGATACCTTTTTAGCTCTCTGAAGAAAGAGGTGTTTGTACCACACAGTCATTAACAGCAAGTGTACTGCTGACCACGAACACTGATCAAACATAAGGACTCTCCAAAGGAAAAAAACCACTGTCTTAATAGTTTTTGTTTCTCCTGAAGCTGGGTACTTACCAGTGCAATTCAGGGATGGGGTTGGAACCGGAGACAGCACTGGAGGGACCATGTCAGCAACAGCTGATTTCTGCTGGTCTATCAACTGCAATAGTTTATCCCGTGCTTCTGTACTCTGACGATTCAGCTCTGCTATTCTTTCCTCCAAGCATCGTGATACCGTGAGATGACTCTACTTGGATAATGGGATAATTACTTCCATTGAAAAATTTACAATTTTCACCCTCAAGGAGGGCATACAATATATTTCAAGTACTCCTATGTATTTAGTTTTCAAACTAGAAGTGAGTATAATTATGTAGAACTTCTGTGAAAAATCTGATTTTGGCCCTTTCAGCGTCCTGTATCTTAGTCCTCAACTGACTAAACATTACAATATTTTATACTGGTCTTCCCTCACATAGGAAAAACACAGCTGGTGTCCACATAATTTGAGAAAGGAAAAAACCAATCTCCACCCCTGCCCCCCCCAAAATCAAAAACCCAAACAAACCAGCAAACCAAAACCAATAATCATCCAGCAATTAAGTACAATTAAGAATATACTTAATCAGGAAGACATATATTCAGGAGGGTGTGGGGAAGCAAAAGCAGGTTTGTAGCAGAAGTGTCCTGGAACTCATCTTTAAGCCAGGTTTTTTTCCTTGGACCTTTTCCCCTCCCTCTCAATAACTGCTTCCACAAAAACAACACTTACTAAAGGTCTGCATCACCTTGTACAACCAAAGGACTAAATGTTAAACAACATAACCCAATGGGGAAAGTGACAACACTCTCAGCCTACATTTAAATGAAGAAATTAAAAATCTTCAGGATCCTTAATTTAACAGTCAGTCAGACACTGTGATAGAACAAAAGACAATAGTAAGGGCAGGGATGTTTTTGTGACATTAACCTCACTGATCCCACTGAGTAACTGCTTAGTTGCAGATTAATTTTTTTTCCACTTAAACTGAAGCCTTCAAGGTCTCTTTTTTCCCAATACCTTTGGGATTTTAACAGAAGAGGACTGACAAGAGAGACCCAACAAGCACATACACTATGATCAAACATTTGCAAAATATATACTTCCACTCACTTGAATCTCATCTGCTTTTGCGTCCAAGCAGCAGAAGAGATGTATGACATGGCTTTAAATATGCATTTTACAAGCTTGACAAGAAGCTGTGGGTTGGTGCAGTGCTTTCTCTGCTAATAGTACCCAAACTACAAGAGCTTGGATCATGTTGCAACACCATCTCATTTTGCAGCATAACCTTAAAAATGTGCTGCACACTCTTCAGAACCCATGTACAACATGGACCCAATATGAGAAACTACTGCTGATCTGCTTGTGGAATAATAATAAACATCACAAGTCTCCAAGCAAACAAATAATAACTGACAACATGAAAGACAAAAAAAGCACCAGTAAACAATGGGAAAGCAGATCAGCAGAAAGGAGATCCAGCCTTCCTCTTCTGTTAAATTCTGACCTGTCCTTGTGAAGAGTCTGAACTAGGATTTTGTGTCAGGTCTGGCTGATGTAGACAATCACTTTTGTCTCCAGGGACACCTCTGAATTTGCTCAGTTGAGCTTTAATTAGAGCATTCTGCCGTGTGAGCTCAGCTATCTGTCCCAGCAGATCACCATTTTGAAGGAACTCTTCAGCTGCACTGTTTTTCCCAGCATCACCTGGGCAGGAGAGATTGATTTTCTTGTGGGAACCCTCCAAGTCTTTGTCTGCAGGAGGAATTGGTTGCCTCCGAGAGATGGGGCAGTTTTCCTCAGTTGTGCTCTGTGTCCTCAGGGAGGAAGGTATGCTCCTTTCTTTGCATGGCTCTCTTTCAGTAGACTGTGAAATGGCTGCAAAAACTGCAAACATGAGATAAAGGAACAGTAAGGACAGTGACACGTGATCTTCACTGAGGAGACTAACAGTGACTTTATTTCATCAGGTTACTTTACTAAAAATCAAGCAAGAATTTTAATTTTAACACTTAGCCTAAATGGTGTTATGGTATTGACCAAAACCACTTTATGCAATATCCTGCTGTAAGAACTCACCAGGTGTGTATTTCCTATTGCAGACAGTCTTCCATTCAAATTATTTAATTAGAGATTGACAGAGAAGTCACAAACAAATTCATTGTTTTGAATTTCTTAGCTGACAGATGAAATACTGTTTCTTAGTTAGTCTTCCATTTTCCAAAATTCAGTTACCTAACCTGATAACTTAAGTTTTTGTTTCAGTTCTGGTATTTATATTGGGCTATTAACAAAACTTTTAGGATACTAAAACAAAAAAAAAAAAAAACAAGACTTTTTGGCATGATAACAAACTACTTAACCCCTAAAGAGGAAGCACTGTGGCCAGAAATGTAGTCATGTATTTTTTTGTGGTCATCATCAGCAAGAGATAACACACCACAGAGACATGACTACAGTTACACCACTGTCTGCTGCTGCTTGCTAAGTCCAACTCGACTTTTGTGACCAAACCCAGATTTTCTATGCTTCCTATACCAAATAGCCCATTCCTGCACAAGCTTTAGTTTTTGCCTCTTGAGCAGAGATGAACACTTAAAAATTTATACTCAAATGTGTTTTATGAATCTTTGAGCATAAAGAAACATTCATGAAGTTTAATATTTGTTGGGCCATTTAGCATCAGTCTTAAGAAAGTAACAATATATTTCAGAGAAATCTTGGAATACAGTTCTTCAATACAAATTGTTGTTTCAAATGTCAGAAGGTATCTGACAGTTCTCAGTGGGACTGAAACCAGACATTGCTCTTTGTAGAACAAGACCTTTACTTAATTTCCTCCATGTTGTTTATGTACCTCCACGGTGGGCACAGCAGCCCACCAAGTAGCTGAATTAGATATAAACTTCCAATTACCCAGCAAAATCCTTAAAAAGCAAAAGGACTTTTGGTTATTTTTCTGACTTGGGAAAGGCTTACCAAACACAGCTGAAAGGGAGGAAAAAAGATAAAAACCCCAAAATCCACTCCTGGACTCTTCCTTCTCGTCAGCCACCATCCATCTGGCCACAGATGTAATTATCTGCCTCTCCACAAGGGTGTTATTCAGGGCCCTGGCAGGTTCAGTGGGATGCATGTGCTTACAGTGACAATTGCAGCAGGAAACAGCTCCGTTTTAGAATCACAGAGTGCTTCTACTCACTTCAGTAAAGGTAAATGAGAAACACATTCCCTAATCACCCTGATAGACTTTCTTCCTCCCATGAACCATAACTGAGATACCAACCTAAAAAACTCGTAAAGCCTATGGATACTGAGACAAGACTGAGCTACCTGGTTATCTCGCACCACATAATTTCACCCAAAATTTCCTCAATCATTTCCTGTGTATTAAATGAAACCCAATGGGAACCTGACTCCCACAACTTCCAAAAACCCCTTTGCTGGGAAGACAGGCTCAAAGCAGGAGCTCACAGCCTACAGACATCCTGGTGTGTCTGCAACATGCATTGCAGAAACAAGGAAGTTCTAGGCTTCAGTGGTTCCACCATTAAAGGTGAAGGAGGCTGGATTACACCATCAGCAGATGGAAATCTGAAATGATGTGCTGCAGGGCGTCGACAAAGAACTTCAGCAATCACACAGATATGATAATCAAAATGAGTACAGAATAAAAATGTCCATCTGCACTGCCACTGACAGGACTGCTGCCAGGAGATGGAAAACAGGAAGTGTAAGGGCTGTCTAGCAACAGCCATAGTAACAGAGGAAACGTGTATCTGGGTGCAGCAGTAGGATATTCCAGCTATAGGGCCAATATGTCTAGGCATACAGATTAAAAGTTTTCCATGGAAAATACATCTTCAGAGGTAGTGTGAGATTGAAACAGTGACACAAAACACAGACTCCTAAGTCTACTGCAGTCAGAGAGATCTCACCGTTCTGGAGGGAAGACAATTCCTTACTGCTCTTCTGCTGTGGTGGGGACAACAGCACAGCTGGCTGGAAGATGTGAGCTGGACAGCTTCTACCTGGTCTCATATCACCTGAGACACCTGGCCCTGGGCAAAGCGTGAAATGAAGTTCTTCCTGTGGAAATTTTAGCATATTTTCCCTATTGCCCACATCAATCCTGGGCTCAGAGTAGGTCAAATCAGGTTTTTCTACAGAAAAAGACAAAACAGGGATAAAAGTTTAAAAAATGAACAAAACAAAGGAACAAAAATTACTTATAGTGAAATAGCAATGTAGGAAGATATATCAGTAACAACTCTTATGTTCAGATACCTGAAAAGACAGACTAGAGTATGTTCCACACACACTCCTACCTTTCTTTTGATACTCAGGTACAAAATTCTTTCACACAAGCAAATTATCATTTTTTACTGGCCATAAGAGCAAGAATAACTCATACACATAGCCTCACAATTTCAGGACAGTAGCAGGAGATCTGTTTGTAGCTCATGTACAAGACTTACAGATACATGACTTGAACAGGTATTTGAGCTGTGCTTGGTAATGTTCTCTTGAGAAAATCAGACTTTTGCACTTGTCCCAATCCCCAATATTATTAATTTGAGGGCAACAATGCTTTAGAATATAATTCAAGGCTTTTTTGAGCTCTGCTGATCTTATTATCATTTAATTTAAATGAGACATCTCTTCAGTAAAAAAAAAAAAAAAAAAGAAAAAAAAGGGAAAAAAGTAGTTATTCTTCTCCACTTAACTAAGGAAAGATTTGAAGATTCTAGTGCTGCAGAACTGTTGAATGTGAAAGTTTGGGTGTTAGGTTGGGGTTTTTTTGAGGGGTGCTCTTCTGACTGTTTGGATTTTGTATTTTAGGGGGTGGTTTCCTATTGCTTGCTTTTACAAGGCCTAGGTCAATCACAAAATAAAGGATCTAGTATGTGGCTTCTTCCCAAGAAGACACTTCTTCCAGGATGAAAGCTTTTAGCTAAAAGATTCACAAAACCAAGACTTTACTATGGAATACAAGCAACTGAGAAATCTTGGGATTCACAAGAAATTACTGACTTTGAGACCAAAAGTAATGCATTTAAACAACTGACCAGGAAAGACAGCTGTGAGAAAACTCAGTGGTGAAAGGTGGTTAATAGGCCAAGGTGAATCATGTTTGGTTACTCTGGCCACCAATCTACTGGCTTAGCCTATCTCCACGTCACACATCACTCATCTGGTCACTCCCCCACACACAGTCAGGAACACCAAGTGACCTCTCTGACTGGCTGGTTCCTGGACTCAGCTGCTGCTGTTTTGGCCAGCAGCGACCTCCAGCGACTTATGGAAGATCCAATCTCAGACTGCCCGGCTGCTCAGCAACAGGAAACTGAGATCTTGATTCTGTTGGGTTTGACTTCTTCGGGTTTCTGGGTTTTTTTTATGACCCTCAGAATGGAACTGACTTTGGAAGCCATCTTAATGGGGCAAGGCTACTCTCCTGCTTTGCTTGTGCTCCCAGCAGAACCCATGGCTCGTGAATTTACAGAAGTGACATTGGTGCTCATGCAAGCGGTATCTGTGCAAACAGACATCTATTAAATACCAGATTTTCCACTCCAGGGATAAACTTAGTTTAAGGTCTTTTCATGCTTCACATTTATTGTACGCACCTTGGCTGTTTGCTGGGCCTCTGCTTTCAGTTCCAAAATGTTTTGGACTTTGTTCTCTTTCAGGTTCTACCAAAGGGAGGCCTTTAAATGCTTGTATGAGACACATCAGCTTTTGATCTGTTACTGTCATGTACTGCTGAAGCTTCTTCTAAAGGAGGAAAAAAAACCATACACAGAATTACACAAGTTTGTGTTCTATCAATAAATAAGAAAATTATATACTGTAAGCAGTCCTGAGAAGAAATTTAGCCTCTTAATACTACTGCATGATTGTGTAGGATTCCAGTGAGGATTAAATATTATTGTCTCCATGTTTCTTATTTATAAATCATTAGTTTTGCCTTTTCTTACTCATGACATCACTTCCCCTCTAAGGTTTCTTAATTGCACGATTCCCAAGTGTAGCCATTGATCAAATCTACCTCCACTGCAAACTAAAAAAAGGAAAATGTAGTATTACATTTACTCATTGCTCCAGAAATGTTAACAGTATAGAAGTGTGAAGGAAGATGCCTAAAATTTTATATAGATAAAGTAAAGCTCAGTTTCACAGAACCAGCACTTTCTCAGGCTTTGAAGTTAAATAAAGATAAACGAACGGCTTTCCAAACATTTCATACCCATACCTGCTAGTGTAATTCTCACACTCTTCATTCAATTTTGTAATTTTATTTCTGTTTATGGTTAAAATATCCAGAACATGAGACAATGCATCTCAGCCCATATTTGCAACAGAACACAGAATTCTAACACATAATCCTGATGGGTAAAGAGTAAGGAGGACTCAGTACCTGCATAGTAACGTTTTCTTCCCTTACTTGAAGAACTTCAGCAGTCAGAGCATCAATCAGTTCTCTGTGTTCATTCAACATCTTCTCCTGCTGCTGCCTCATCATATCTTTCTCATGTAGCTGCATTTCAGTCTAAAGAGGGAGAAAAAAATTGAAAACTTACTATAAACCAATAGAGACTCATATTTGGAAACAGGAATGAGTCATCATGACATCATAATGTAACAGCTCTTCCTACTATTGCTAAACTTCATTACTTTCAGGACAAAATCCAATTGTCCGGCCTTGAGAACTGTCAGAGAGCTTACTGTTTATCTTTGTTCCTCCAGGAAACCGTAGGGAATCCTAGACATCCTTGTTCTTCTGCCTTTACAGATTTTACAGGATGTAACTAAAAGCATTTTCTCTCTGCACAGATACAGTCTCTTAAGTCAATGAATTTTTATGCAGGAATCAAATAATTCCAGGTGTGCTGATGCTTGTCAGTATCCCATGCTACTTGTGACTAATCTTTAGTTTCCCTAATTCATTAATAAAGACAAAATTGACTAAGGAGAAAGTACTTGCTTTCTAATGTTTTCCATCAGAGAGAAAAAGTTCTAGAGGGCTTCAAAATCATGATGACCAAACAGTTCTTCATCCACATGAAATGAATGAATAAATGAATATTTTTGAGACTAACTCACAGATACTGCCACTAGACACAAAGGCAGATACACCTCCCTTAAGTATATGAGAGGCAAACCATCCATTTTCTGTTTCTCTTCCAGCTAGAGAGAACAGGTTTCTTTTATTGATCCAAGTGAAGCATGCTGGCTCAGAAAATGGATTAAAAAAAACCTGTTCCTGGTCCTCTCCCTTCAGAAATCAAAGACAGCACAAAAAAAGCACTTCTACCCTGGTAGCAGTGATGAAGTTTATGATGCCTTAGATCATCTGGATGAGCTACTGTATCTACTAATCCTACACTGCACTAACCTAGTCTTGGAGGAAAAGCTTCCAAGTGGCTCTGTCTTACATTTATGCATAGGGAAAACATCAGGATTAACATCCATTCCTATCCCCAGGTAAGATTTCGGTCTGGTATACCCTGAAAGTACTGTTTCCATCCCAGCCCATTGCCAGGTGTGGCTCTAATCACATGAGCTTTAACACTGCACCAGAACATGCAGCATATAGGGAGAAGAGAGCAGCACAGATTCAGGGAATATGCCCACACTCTTTCTGTCATGTGGGTCTGGCAAAGAAACAGCTTTCTTAGCAGAATGGGAGTGAGGAGGGAATTATTAATTCTAACATTTGGAAGGTGATCTAAAAATTAGTTTAGAAACCAAGTCAGATTTATCCACTGCCCTTTAAGAATTTCATATGGTTTTGCAAAACACTTCAGAAGTTTCTTTTCCTCCTTTTCAGCCTCTACTCTATTCACTGCTTCCTTCTTATAGGTGTTGGTTTGTTAATAATTTAATAAAAACACTTTCATGGAAGATTCCTAAATTCAGGTTTCTTTTTCTACTTTTTAGATACAATTTTGAGAATAAATTAGGCAACGTCCTTTATTGCAATCCTTCTGATTTTCTGCAGCAAAACTGGAAGGAGAGAAAGGGAATCTCTCTAAAAGCTTTGAAACCTTATGAAGACTGACTGTTTAACTAAAATCAGGGGCTTTCTAAATATTCCCTTCCAAGTAATTTTCTTAAAAAGCATTGCCAGTTATAATTCAGGCATTGGAATTCTGCTAACTCTGTTGGCTAGGCAAGACAGATGGTGCACACAAAGTGCTTGATTTATGTCTGGCATCACAGGGACCAGGTTTTATGAAACACTCAAGAAAAGCTGGGCTTCTTCCCAGCAAATTCTGAATTGTAATTAAACCTCCCTGAAAAGGAGAGAGGTCATTTCAGATTATGAATGCAGTATCTATCTCAAGCAAGCCTGAATACAATTAACCACATTACACAGCTTGAGTGACTTCATATTGCTGCTTGAGAATTTAGGTAGTAAATTTATGAGTGTGGCATACAATTCTGCGAGCAATAATCAACTTCTAGAAGGATGGAATGGTAACACAAAAAATATGGGAGTAGATCTGGAAGAAGTCTGAGGCTCAGGAATAATTTCTATAGAAAAATTAAAGACAATCTGAACAGGATTATAACTGCAGTTACATCTATAACACAAACTGGATGCTATTAAATTGATGCATTCCTAATAAGCAGAAAACATTCTACTGAAAATCTAATATCCTTTCTTAGAACTGCAAAAGAACCAAATTTAATTCCCTGCTTTGGTATTACAATTTAACAAAGACCAAGCATCAATAACTTTGTTTTAATAACAAATAATAAGCATTTAATAAGCATTAATAACTGTGTTTCAACACGTAAGACTTTCTCAGCTGAAGTCCACCTTTTGAAAGAAGTTGCTTTTCACTCTTGGATTGATTATTTACTATTTACTTCCTGAACTTAATCACAGTAAATTCTTTAATATAGATTAAATACAGAGTAATACAAGGATCAAGTTATTACACATCTGGTAAGAGAAAAAAAAAAATAGAATTTTAAAATAAGATCAGTTTTCCCCTTTCAATTATTATACATTCTGAAAAGGAACCAAAGTAAGACAGTTCCACATTCATTATTATCTCATCAGAGATTTATTACCTTTGCTATGAAATAAAGCATTAGCATTTAGATAATATATTCTGCTCCACCTATTAAGAGCGCAGGAACTGTCATAATCTGGCTTAAAATGCCACAAAGACCAAATGAATCTGTGAGGCATTGCTGCTTCTTGATGAATTAAAATACCCTTTTTTTTCCCTTTTCTTTTTTAACAAAAGCTTCTATGTGGCACACAGGTTGTCTTTATGGAATTCCATTAATTCCCAGCTCTGCATTGTTACAGCGAGAATGTCAGGGCATTCTTGCTTAAGGTAAAGTTTCTGTTACGAATAGTAAAAGAGGACTAAGGAATCCCTCAAGGAAAATAGGGGATTTGAGTCCACTGCTCTGGTGACAACAGCATCACCTTTGGGAGGCAAAGGAAAAAAATGAATTTGTAAACAATGCTGTACTTATTACCCTGCTACAACTCTGAATACATGTAAAGAACAAATTTAAAATTATTTCAATTGCTGTTTTCTACTCTTAGACACTAAGAGACTTTCACTGCAGTCAACTCTTCCATTTTCATTCCAAGGGATACCAAAGAGCTAACCAGCTCCTGACAAACCACAAGTTTTACCTCCTAATTGCATGCAAACCTAGCAAATAAGCAATGATAATCAGAGTTCAATGTAAAATGATTTGAAGCCAGAAAAGACCAAAGTTCACATCTGTAAAGTAACTTTACACCCTTTTTCATTCACTTTCCAGGAGCAGTTCTAAGTCTCACCTCTTTGAGGTAGCGCATCAAACGACAGAGGGCGTTCACCAGTGACAGAGTAAACCCAGACAGGCCTTCACTTCTCTCTTTTTTTTGGACCTCACGTCCTGTACATCGCTCATATTCCTCCAGTTCATGCTCTACTTCCTGGATCATGTGGTTGAGAACATCTAGACCGGATTTGTTGTCCCTTTGAAGGTTAGTCTGGATTAAATTAGTTGGAGAATCATCTCTCTTCTGTCTTGCAGAGTTCTGTGCAGCTTGCTTTCTTTTCACTGAAGGGGAAGAAAAAAAATGGGTCATTGGAATTTCAACTTGTATAGAGATCTTCACAGTAGCAACGAAATTGCATTGTTTATTGAAGTAAATCAAAGGAAATGCCCTCTCTTGCCATAAGATGAAACAGACCATCAAAGAACATCCCCCAGCCATTCCAGCTATTTTCAGATCCTCAAAAACCACATTTTTTGCTGCCACAATTGTACCTCTCAAGCACAACTGTTTGGTGCTTTTATCTTGGATACACTGTTTGTGCTTTTCTTCTTTCCATTTAAATGCATGGGAATAGTTTGCTTATGAAAAACATCAGCTACTTTCTCGTACTCAGTAAGCAACTCTCCTTTCATGCTACAGCTTGTACCTGATGTCAGTCCCCTCATACAAACATGTAGAATATGGGGACTGAAATGCATCCTTAATCTGTACAGCACAGAAGACAAAGCTGGATGAGAACTAGAAAAACCCTGCAAAGGAGGGAACTCCATGACTAACATGGTAATGGGCATCATCAAAGTACTGTTCTTATGGTTCCCAGATTCCTACAGACTTGGCTTTGCCAATGAAGGTGCAGAACACAGAGGAAATACACAAGCCAAGCTCAAGACTCAAGGACCCCCTCATCAAATTTTGGTATTAGCCCCACAATGATCCCCTCCCATCCACATTTTCTTATGACATTAAGAACCTTGGACAAAGGTTATTTTATTTTTAAAAGTACTAAACTCTTTGCTGCAATTTGTTTTTGTTTCCTTGAGTTTGGGTTCAGCACTTGTCTCACACTGTCACCAGAGTCTACAGACTCTTCTTCATCTTCATTCCGAAGTCTTGAATGGGTTCTCTTGATTACACTGGTAGCATTGAGGGCTGATTTAAACACAAACAAAAAAAGCACATGTGAAATATTTCAGGCGTGTTCTTAATAGTATAAGGTTCTAGAGTAATTTTATTAGAAGAGCTGTTTTTTCAGTCTGGACATACATCTGGGCCAAATTAGCATTCATTTCTCTCACCCCCACCCAGGAAAGGAACGCTAGACAGGATCCTATGAACAACCCAACAACCTTGCTGTGATTTGGCAAATCCCACCTGACTGATCCAATGAAGGAGAAACAGCTGTGGGAGTGCAAGGCACATTTGACTTCTGTGGTAAGGTGGTTTTTCTCATATCCTTTTCAACCCACAACTGAGAATTCACCAAGGAATTTTCTTCTCTCAACAACCGAAGCAGCCTACATTCAAAACACGAATAACAGTGAATTGTAACAGGACAAGGGCATGATTCCAAATTATCTGTCTTGACAGAGCTCCTAAAATTATCTGCAATTGTTCAGGTGAATTCCCTGCTCACTTTCATTCCCAGTCTCAATGCTAAAAAAGGCCTTTCCCTGGAATTCCAAGATCAGGAAAGCAGGACAAAGGGAAACAGAAGAACTAACTTAACTATACCCATTCAACACCCTTTTAACTCCCACCTGTTTCCAGTGCCAAGCAGGTGGAAACCTGAATGGATGTATTTGTACTGACCTGTCAGAATTGATGCTGGATTTGAAACCCAAAACGTCATGGTGTCCATCTTCTGATAATGCTTCCTCCTCCTCTTCACTAAGAGCCTTTTCAAGAGATAACAAAGAAAACAAAACAGAATTCAGAAGAAGTTAAGAGACCAATTTAATGGAATTGTTTCAAGAAAAAAAAACAACACATTTTTTAGTCTTCCCGTCCAAAACATATTTAAAGTAAAATACTACACAGAAAAAAAACCCAAACCCACACCCCTTTGTAGGAAGTTCTGGGGGACTTTAGTACCTAAGAAATATTAATAATGACAGTTGTCTCTGAAAATAACACAGCAAGTGACTAATTCAATAACTAATATTTTCTTTGTATGATTTATATTAAATATGAAAACCCATGCAAACTAGAGGATAAAATAAAAGCTGTTAAGGCTGTACCAAAAACAGAGATACAGCAGGCAAAATATGGAAAAGCAAGCTGAATCCATGTAATTTGTAAAATTTCAGTCATTTGACATTACAAGCTAAACAACTTCATAATGAGACCTGCAAAATTACATTTATCATCTCTGTGTAAAATGCAACCAGAACATAATACAATCCTACATACTACATTTATAGCTAAATACAAGCAACAAAATTTGGAATTAGGGTTCCTCAAACTACCAGGACTCTGAGCTTCAGGGCAGGTTTCACCAGATAGCCTTTAACTGTGATTTTCATAGGCACATAAGAATTCACAGAAGCTTGGCAATCAGTACGTGTTTATTTTTAAAATTTCAGTTTATCCTGCAGCTTACAAAGGTGCTGCAGTTCACTCCTCATATTAAAAAAACTGAAGAACAAATGCCACACCAAAATACCTAACACAGAAGTACCACAACTCAGATTACAGATATTTCTGCACGATAGTAGGAAATGGGAGTAGAGAACCATGGGAATATGACACCATCATTGCTGCTCCCAACAGCCTATTTGGTCTTCATCAGAGTGAAGTTTTCTGGGAGCATCACATGCCTGTCCTCAAATCCCAGGAGCATTCCTGGTACAACATGTTATTAAAAGAAAGCAGAGCACAAAGGCAAACAAAATTAAATTTCCAACAATTTAAAAATTGTCTACAATGAACCTGAATAAATGTAAAATAATGCAAAATATTAAAAATTTAACTTGTAGGAGTCATCAAGGCTGTGGAGTGAACTGGGATACAAAAAGATGTGTGTCCCCATATATGCAGACATTAATTGGTAAATCAGAGTCATATTCTGAAATGCAGCTATTAGTTAAGTGACACAGAAGTTCTTCTCTTGGACATTGTAAAGAGTAAAGACATTGTACTCTTCCTGAGAATTCCAGAACTTAAAAGGGAGGGCATGCTAACGTGAGAGAGCTTCTACAAGACATAATGATGTCTGTTTCTCATATCCAAGGGTTAAATAAAAAAAAATCACAATTCCCAGAGTCTCACAGAAGTCTCACAAAAAGTCACAAAAGTCTCACCTCCGTTTAACCTTGTATTCTATGAATGTTATCAACAAAAAACAATTTAGTTCTGCTTGGAAGCTCTTATCTTTGAATAGTCTTATTTTGTACAAACAAAAAAGCCACAGGAAATGCATGCATGGAATAAAATACACATTACCTGGAAATCCATGACAGATTCACTAAGGGTAGAAAGCTGACTGGAAGGATGACTTTTTTGTACAATGGGTCCTTGAGATGATTCTAGGTGACAGTTAGGAGCCATTGTTACATTAGGAATACCTAGAGGAATTAACACAGGGAAGAACACAGAGGGCTTGGTCTGTACTTATGTTGCAGCACTTTGTACTGAAAATCAAGCTCCTGTATTTCACAAAAAAAAAAAAGGTTCACAGGGATGACACTTTAAACAACAACCAAAGACCAACCATAGGGCTAATTTAATACACTGGGACACATACCCAGCTTTTGTCTTTCCCACCTGCATAAATACACTTGTGCAGAAGCAGCTTGCAGGATCAAACACTCACTAGGAACAAGAGAGAATGGCAGCCAACAGAGAAAAACCCCTAGGTTTAAGATTTCATATACAGACAGCCAGTCCTGCCTTCCAGCAGTACAAGGATCCACAAACCAATTTAAGAAAAGGAAAAGCCTCATTCAGGAATTGGTGATAAATCTTCAGCCATATCCCAGAGCACAGTCAGCTCATGCAGTAATGAGAATCAGAACCACTGCAGCAGCTCAAACAGCTTGGCTGCAGTTTTGTGAAATTCCACAGTGGTCCAATGCAGTGGAATAACCAGCCATCAGTCACTCTCCCCTGCCACTGGAGGCGATAGCCTCACCTGTGTTTCATCCAACATGAGCAGGATCAGTCATAATGTGTTAGACAATGAGATGAAAGCAGTTAAAAAGAGCTCCTTGCAAAGCAAGACTATTCATGGAAAGCAAGGAGATAATCTTAAATGTGCTACCACATACAGATGAGATGTTCTACCTGTTCGTGTGCGAGGAGCATCCCCAAGCAAGTCTTTTGCCACAGCCATAACCTGACCAGATCGTTCCAATACATCTTGCAAATGGTACCGATCAGACAGAATCTGAAAGAACAGTGTATAAGCAAACTTTACACTGAGCAGAATTAATCTTTTTTTTCTGGTATTGTTCCTCTAAATATTTACCAAGAGAACAGCACTGAGAGAATGTTTGCAAAGCTGGTATTGTGCAATTAGATCCTAAATAAGACAGATCAGAACACCATACTTCATTCTGACTAAATAGAATTCATAGTTTTTCTGAAAAATTAAACAGCTATTACTTCTGAGGCCCCCATCAGCACTGACTCTTTAGAACAAATCCTTTCACTCCCTCTTCTCCTCCCAGCCTGACACAAGAAGCTGGGTATTTATGACATGCTCATCAAAACAATGACTTATCTAGCAATTAAAAAAACCCACATCCTCAAATCATTTGATCTCAATGTTAAGTCATAGAATACTTACCTACATCTGATACCCAAAACATGTACTGTTTGATGAGATTCAAACTAATTCAAGCAGACTTGTTTCACTCAGTCTTGCCTCCTGAAAATCCTACCTAAAACTTAAGATATATACCACCAAAAGTTCCAGCAGAGGTAAATGCAGCTGACTACATCTGGCATCAAAGACATTCTGGGAATCTCCAGAAGATACAGCTTCTGTATTCAAATTCTCTCTCTAGTATTTGAACTCCATCACAAGAGGTGCCACCTAAGGAAGGATGCCTTGGAGTGCAAAGCAAGAGGCATCCAGCTACCATGAGCCAAATGGAGCTGACTGGGGATGGGACTTCATGAGCAGAACACAATTTAAAGCTCCTCACTGACTCCGGGCCTCATTCAAAATCTGGAAATTGAAAACTAGCAAAATTATATCCTGCAACCTGGGGAGAAGGTAGATATTCTTAAACACCTGAGAGGAGATATATGTGACCTTGCTCCATCATTGTTCATCAAATTGATCCAAACACTATGAATACTTTAGAAGACCTCACAGAAAAGGCTCATGTATGCCCTCCTACTCAAAATTTGAAAACTGACTGACAAGTTTTGCTCATCCAGGAATCACAAAAAATTGTTCTGAAATGGCTTCACAGTACTCTACACCGTTATCTCCACAGAGTTCTTTTCAGTGTCCATTGGTAAGTTTGCTTGCTTACATTTAGCCTCATCCAAAAAATTCTAGGCAATGGCATTTCGCTTATTTCTCCTCAACCCCGTATTTTACTACATGCTTTCTTATGTCAAAAAGTTTCCCTACATATCTGAGTTTCCATGTTTTTCTAGTCTTTTGAGCTTGCAAATGCAAAACCAGCACACTTGCATTGCACTGCAGTAAATTAGACTTTTCATAATAATTTAGCAAATCAGTGAATATTCATCTTTCAAGCACTTCACATATCTCCTTTTCTAGACCACTATCCAATTTTCCCCATCTGATACAAACTAAATCTAGTCTTTCCATGTAGCCATCTGACATCAAAACAAAGCAGGTTTTTAGATAAAGTTATTATACCAGATCAGCAAAAGAAAAAAATATAGAAAGAAAAAAAGGAAAAAAGTTTATGACTCATTTCCTGCAGGCAATTAAAATTAGAGTGATGTGTATAATCAGACAAAAATTATCCTGATTAGTTTGTTTTTATCCTCCTCACTAGATCTTTTTAGGCATCAGCAGGTTCCTAAGCTCTACCCTCCTGCTGAACACGTTATGAACATTTTTAGAGCATTGCTCCCAAGGTAGATTAGCTCACTTTTGCTCGTGATGAGAAAAAAAAGTAGTATCACCTTGTAGCCCCTTTAGGCCCTTATATATGCCCTGGAAAAATTCACTAAGCAGTGTGCCTTGTCCCAGTTTAGTATCACCCACAAATTTCATTAAAAATCACCTTCCCTCATCTTTCAGATTTTTATCAAAGCAAAATTAACTGGACTCATCCTAAAATCTCTCCACTACCATAATCCATTTACCTCTACTCTTTGGTGCCATGCATTAACGTTATTTTAAAAATAAGTTGTTACAGGACCAATCAGTGTGGTACCTACACATTCACAGTCCCAAGTTTCAGAGTGAGCTCATATTATCTTTTCATTCAGATTTTTAGGCAGACGAATCCCCAAAATATCAAAACTTTGCTTATCCATTTTATAACTCTTGTAACATCTTTCTGTTCAATACACAAGTACATGAGAAACGACACTACTGGTGGCAGCACCTTCTTAGCTTTTGTCTCTGAGTCCTCTGCAGATGAGCAGGATCCAAGAGGCCTAGAAAGTTAGGACTCACAGCACTAAAAGAAAAAGATCACCAAGGTAACAGAGACAAGGAAACAGTTCTCAGTGATTGTGCTCTACTGGGAGACACAGAGTCTCCACAGTTACTCTTAACAACAGCGTTGTTAAGCAATTAACAAGATTTAAGTTAGGGAGAGGTGAAAATGGTAACTCTCCCCTATCTGTTTTCTTTTTCTTTACACACAAGACGCCAGTGTTTGAAACAGCAATAGCCAGATCTGTTTCATCATTTCCTTTTGTCTTCCTTTTAAAAGATTCAGAAGTAGACACTGAGTAAACTGAATAAAATAATCTCTTAACTATAAAGGGCAAAACCACTCAGAAGGAATTGAGATTTGTGCATTTTCATTAGAAACATAAACAAATATAGAAGACTATTTCCTAAACATGAGTTTCACATCTGCAAAAGAATGATGTCACATAATAGGTAGTCCAGCAAAATCTTAGAAAACATGGTCTAATCTGCCTTTTGTGATACATAACTTATTTCTGCACAGAAGTATTATTGAAACTAGGCTACATTAGGGAAAGTCATATAGAGGTTCACAGTGCTTTCTGAATACTCTGCTGAAAAATGTATGGCAGAAAAGTACCAAAGTAACAAAAGTCCAAATCTGAGGCTTGATTAGCAAGACACCCATAACACAAAAATTCTACCGTGACTGCAGAGAAACAGAGGACAAATAAAAAACTAGGTGGTGATTTTTAATTCTAAGTACTTCCATTTGTTTCTCCATGCTTGAATGTTCTCAGAGATCAGAAAGAGACTTCTGAAAAATTACAAAAGACAAAACAATTAAGTTTGCAATGGTTAGTCCACTGCACATTTACAGAACTACCAGATCATGTTTATTTTGACTTCTAAGTGAACATTGCTCATGATCATTCTTTACCAGCAGGAACAATTCACAGTCTGTTCGAGTACAGAAGTCTGACAGCTAATTTTCAGATTATTTTCACAACACATGGCAAGGAGTGACCTGCCACATGAAAAAGGAGATCTACCACCACTATTCAGTGACAGCTACTCTCTCTGTTAACTAGGCTTAGGTTTACTCCTACAGTTCAATACTCGAAAGCAAATTCAATAATATATTTACAGTCAGAGTGCTTTAGAATGCTAAGAGAACAAGCTTTTCAATCCTCAGGTGACAAGCTTGTCAGCCATAGCTCATCCATCTTTGTTGTGTCAATTTTCCTCCCTTAACAACATCTTGCCTCAACCTTTCAGCCCTCTTGACACCACACTTTCTCTGTTTAAATAAGCAGTGTCCCTCCCTGACAAGAGAAATGTTTGCGTCAAAGAAAAATGTTTGCGTCAAAGAAAAATGTTAGACATGAGGAAGAAAAGGCAAGCTGACAATAAGAACCCAAAGAATACACATACTTTTTCCAACAGTTGAACTCTGCAAACAGTTCCTGTTCAGATGAAAAGAGGCCTAGAGAATTACAGAGGACACAGCCAGACAACCTGGGTCAAATGTGCAATTTTGCAACAGCTGGTTTGTCAGACAGCTCACTCCAATCACTGCATGCATGCAGCAAACAGAGCATATGCACATGTGAAATCAAGCTATCCCACAAGAGGAGCAACTGTGGCTTCCACGTGCAAGAACAGTTTTCCAGCAGTGCAGATCACCTGCAGCAGGCTGCAAGTGCAAATTTAGCTCTCACCTCACGCATCAGAGCCAATTTCCTTTTCTCCAATGAATCCGCATCCAGCTGCTTTTGCTTCTTCCATTTTCTGTTCAGCGCTTTCTCCTGGAGTTCCAGATGTGCCAGTGCTTTGTTTTTTGATTTGTGTATTTCACGGCGACGGAGCTACAGAAACATAAAAGAAATGATTCCAAGAATCAGTCTTAAGCAAAATTTCCAGGGCAAAGCTAACGAGCTCTTCTTGATTTTTTCATGCACCGAACATTATTTATGTTAACTTCACAGTAGTGCCAATGACAACCTCATAAACATCCACAACTGTAAAATGCCATCAGTACCAGCCACATTTAAAGCAGCTCCAAAGGTGAATGGGGAAAGTCTCAATTTCTGTCTGCCCTACACCACTGACTCAGCAAGAATTTTCTCAGCTGTAAAGGGAGGCAAAACCCAAACACTAGCACCTATAAGATGCATGAAAAGACTTTCCTGATTTAACACTGTCAGTCAGTAGACATAGTGTCTCTCTCCTTCTAACAATTAGATTATATATAAAAAAAAAATAAATACAAATTTAAGAAATTAAATGTGTGAGCTGCTTGCTAAAGTCTCTAGAAGCTATTAAGCCAAACAATTGTAAAATCAAGTCTTTCTCTGCTCCCATGACTATCTGTCCTGACAAACCTGTCAAAACTTAAAATAATAGCTCATACTGCCTCTTCCATCTTCGTAAGTAATACTATCAAGAATATGCAAATACACATTTAAATACAATGCCATTAAATAAACATAAACACACATGATCTGTTTATTGCAAAGAATTAACATACTTTGCAATAAACAAGTCACTCAGTATCAAGAAATTCTCTTATATTGTTTAAATGAAAATTGAGTATTTTCAGAATTAGAGAGGCTCCTCAGATAAAACACATCTTTCAGTCCTTCCCAGCAGAGATAAGGCCTTCAACTAATCCACTGACCTTTCATGTATATATGTATGTATTATTATGTATTTACCTTTTATGATGGCACGCAATTGATTGAAATAAACACTGTGGCTACTGCTTCGCAGTGGGAACAAGAAACTGAAAAACACCAACTGCCAGACCGGGGGATGCTCATTAACAAAAAACTAGCACTAAAGATCCAACATCTTCAGAAGTTTGAAAAAGAGATTAAACATTGGCAGAAAATATCCCCGTGAGCATGGTAAGCGCTTTTTATGTCAGACAACCAGCTAAATGTTCTTGCCACAGGGACAGAGCAGCGACTGCTATTAAACTTACAATATCCTCAGGAGTTGCACGGTGCACTGTCAAATCATGGACGGTACTCTGCGAACAGGAACCAAGGAACACGTCAAAAACCGCGACTGAGGGCAAACTTTTTTTTAAAAAAAAGTTTTATTTCAAAAAAAGACAACCCAAACAACTTTTAAATTGCAGTATAATTAGCCTAACACTGTACTGCTGTGCACTTTTATGGCGCTGCAGCGTTCCACCCTCGGCGAGGCAGCCACCAAAACCGACAGCTCCACCAAACCTGTGCGCTCCTCTCCCAGGAGATGCAGGGGGCCTGACCTCTACCAGGACAGGGAAACCAGAGGGGCCGTGTCCCCCTCGCACACGGCGTGTCTGCCCGCCCGAACCCACACGCAACCCGGGGTCTTGCACATCCCCTACGGAGGGCGGAGGCTCCCCCAGCCGTGGGCACGGAGCCTCCCAGGCCTTTTTCCCAGCGGAGGCCGCCCCGCAGCAGGGAGCACTTACATCCCAGTCCCGCCTGGCCGCCGCCGGCTTTCTGGGGCCCTTCTTGCCGGCGGTGCGGGGCCGCGGCCCGCGGAGCAGCGACATCGCGGCTACGGGAAGGGGAGGGAGCGACGCCGCCGTCGGGGCCGGTTTTGCTCGGGCCGCCCTGAGGGGAGGAGCAGAACGCGGCCTCCTCCGCCCGCCTCTTCCTCCTCCTCCTCCTTCTTCTTCTCCTCTCTCTCCTCCCTTTCCCAGCCCCGCCGCACGGAACGGCAGCGCCGCTGCTGTGCCCTTCGGGCTCTCCGTGAGGGAGCAGCCTCTGCCCCCGCCTCCCTCAGGGCTGCAGGGGACACCCTCCACCGTCTCCAGTGAGCGCAGCAGTGCCTCGGCCGCCCCAGCCCGCTCCCTCAGGAGCTGCTCCCGGCGCTCTCACTCGTCTTCCAGGTCGCCTCGCCTCAATTTTTTCTACTCGCTCACTTCACTGTTACCCCTTCTCGCTGCAAATACCCTCCAAAGATACCTCTCAGTGTCCCTCTGAGGAAGCCTTGGAAATTTCCCCGTGCGAAAACGTATTTCAGATGCTGTTATAGAGGTGGTTCAGAGCAGAATGTCACACAATCCGTGAATTACGGTGATAGGAAATTAAAGAGTGACCCTTTTTTAAATTTAACAAACAGATCTCATTAGTTGTGTCACCGAGGAAGTGTGTACCTCCGTAGCCACAAGGAATTTCTAGTTTCCACAAAGCAGAATACTCCAGAATATGCCACAGATCCTCCACTTCCCTGCCACAAGGTGAAGATATGATGTAATTACTCCAAAGGGTTACAGTTCACATTTTGTGTTGCAGTGTGAGCATAATATTTTGTCTGTGGGAGGTGGAAAGTGAAGGCATAAGGTTTATCATCTTTTCATCCAAAACTTTTTCTACTTCACCAAGATTTCCTGGTGCTTGGGGTCCCCATCAATGTACTTTTGGCTTTACCAGCATCACTGTAAAAAGATTTGTGTGAGGGTGCAGATGGTAATGGTTAATGTATTGGGGGAAGAAATTGTTTTGCATACATGGAGAAGATGGAAATCACGAGGGGAGAAAAGAGCATTAGAAAAATACTTTCAGCAATTACCTGTAAGAAAGTGCTGCAAATGTGGAGGTTGCACCTCGACTTCAGTTTCCATCTAGACACTCAACATAGGTACCACATGCACCTGAAGAGAACCATCAGAGCCTGTGGGAAGAGAAATCCATGCAAAGCAATTCACTATTCTGTGTTGGTCTGAAAATTTGGAAGCCAAAAGTATAAATCAAGGGCACATCTGGAATTCTCTCTTAACATAGCACTTTAAACTGTCTTGAAGAGCAAGGCCTACTAAAGAAAAAAGCAAAAATGGCATAATTGTGTCATTACATCATCTATTTTGAAACCTCTTAAACCTCTCTGCTTTTATTAATTACAATCAAATATAAATGTTAAATACCTAACACAAGCAAATAGGATAAAAGTCAGAGACAATTCTCATTCAAGCAGCATATTGTTAAACACTTTGCCCACTATAAGAAAAGTCGGAGCATGTTCTATCAGACATCTTTAAAGCCTGTCTACATTTCACTTCTCATTATTCTTCACACTGCATTTTCAGCAGAGTCTGAAAATGTGGCATTATCTCTGCAGAAGCCAGCTGAGCATCTATTAACTCGCAGAGGAGCTTACATAATACAGAGACTATATATGCAAACAGTAATTTTAAATTATCAGGTTTCCAAACAATTTGGTTTGTTATACATTTATACTATCTCTCTTTCTAAGTTAGTATGATTTAGGGAATTCCTTTGTAATATCCTCTATCCTGGATGGTTTTGCAGCCATGGTTACCAGGGAAAATGTAGTTTCTTTACTGGTTTGGGGTTGGGATTTTTTGTTGTTATTTTGTTCCCAACAGCAATGAGATTTTCTGCTTTTGTGCTACAGAGAAAAAAAAAAAGTCAACAAAAAAACTCAAAACCACACTCTTGTGAGCCTCTCATCCAGCACAGTTCCTCCTTCCCTTGAGATACTCAAAACCCTGGGCTTTATTTGTACTGGAAAAGTGGGTCCTTTTACAAAATATGTGCCTTCCCCACAGCCAGAGACAAAGGTCTAAGAGCATCATCCCCTTTTCTGGAGGTTTGGCACCCTGGGCTCATGGGCAGCCTAGAAACAGCACAGCTGAGGGCTGCCCCTCTTCCCTCCAGTGACTTTGGCATCAGGGCTTTGGGGAGGATTCAGCAAGGCCTCTCTTCCCCCTCACAAGGCAGCTGCATTTCAGGTGAGGCTCTTGTCCTCAGCTCTACTTGAGCTGGAGCTACAGCCGTGTGGCAGCCCTGTCTGTATCCCTTTCGCCTGGATCAGCTGGCCAGATTCCTGGCCAGACCTCAGATCTGCCTCACTGCTGGGGATTTGCCTGCTGCTGACAGGACTGTGTGTGTCCCTGACTGCCATCACCAGACCTGAGTCACTAATTTATGTTGATCTCAGGTCTATCCCATTGCTATTGACTTGTCCACCAATCTGGACTCAATGTTGATTCCATATCCAGGCTTGTCTTGCTCATGGGATGGGGCCCTGGCCGATGAGGTCCCTGCTCTGCCTCTCCCCTCTCTGTGTTGTGGCACTCGGATCCCTGTCCCTTAGGGAGCATCTGGCCCTTGCTGCCTCCTGATGCCAGAGTACTGTGGCATATATAAGAAAAGATCACTTCCACTGATTCAGATTCATGGTGTATCTGGATGAGAATACTGTCTCTTAGAGGGATCGGTTCTTTCTTCCAAAGTACATGCTGCCCTTCAAGAACAGGATCCAGGTGTAATGAAAAGGGAAAATGGGCTACTCATCTTCATCAAAGGGTCTGAGTGAAGTGTTATAAGTCAGCCAACCTCCATTTGTTATCTGGAAAAGTAATGAAACAGTGTGCAAGCAACTAAATAACAGTCAAGTGATGAGCAGCAGGCACTCTGCATTTGTCCAGAACAAATCATGTCAAACTAACCTAATTTATTTCTTTGCTGAGATAACTGACTTAGTAAGTGCTGAAAGGGATAGGTGAAACATGTTTTGATTCCATAAGGCTTTTTTCATGGTCTTGAACACCACTCTCATAAATGCAAATTGATCTCAGATGGTATTAACATGAGAGGAGTGTGTGATTTAAAAGTAATTCCCAAACTCGTGCAGTGGATATTTTCCTGTCAACAGGAAGGTATATCAAACAAAGGGATTTTATCTGTCTGCTAGGATTGTTTACTTTCATTAGCAGCTTGAGTATTGGAGCTGACCTTTGACTTCAAATTTCTGCAAATAGCACCAAGTCAAGCAGTACCATATTTTGAAGGCAAGGATTTGAACAAAGGTTTACCATTGCTAAATCACAGAAAGAGCCTCAAAATAGTGAGATGAAATTAAGATAAGAATAATGTATAACAATTAGAAAACTTGAATTCTCAAATTAAAAATGAGGCAAAATGTGTAGTGTTTGGTAAGATACCATAATTTACATCTAATCAGGTAAAGCACTTTAAGAAAAACATAACTCTGCATTGGAAAATTTGGACTATATGAAGAGCCTCTCTTTTGCCACGAAACCAACACAACTAGAGAGGGACAATGCACTGATATCCCAATCAGTGAAAATATCCATGACACCAAATGACACAAAATTTATTTGCAGCTGCCACAGCTACCTTGGTTTGCAGAACACCATCTTTGGTGCCATGAGTCACATTGCTCTGAGGAACCAGGCATGCCCCTTACCTGCTTTACCTCCTCCTGTTGCCTGAACTCTCCTCTCTGGGAGAAGATGAGTTTCATAGTGTCCTCCCTCCAGCACATGCTAGAGGGCTGCTGGCCCTGGCAGAGGGACCTGTGCATCTACAGAGAGCAGTGGGTGAGAAAGAAGCTGTAGGGTTCAGGAGCCTTGGACTCTACAGGGTGGAGAGGGGAAGCCACACGTCTCCCAGTGCTGCCAGTTTGAAGTCCCCTAGGACAGGTCATGCCATGTCCTGTTAAGAGGCAAGATAGAGTCATAAAGTCTCCTGGTCTGCAGAGCATGATATTCCCGGCCGAAAGGCAAAATCTTTGTGTTGAATTCTCCATCTTTCAGCAGATTGCAAGTGGTTTATTTTAGCCTTAATGATACTTCTTGGGACTCTGACATAAGGAAGAGTGAGTTGAACCCTGGTTCAAGACAAACAGAACTGACAATTGTTTAGTTTTTTCTCTTGGCAGAAATCACACACGGGCCCAGAGATCAAAATGGCAGCACAAGGCATGCTGGCTCGTTTTGCTGAGCTTTGCAACTTTTCTTCCAAAGACAAGTGACCCCCCACCAGGAAATCTTTCAGCCTTGAAAACAAAACCCACAACTTGTGGAAAGCTTCTGGGGTCAGAGTCACTACAGCTGGAGACTGCAGGCTGACTTTATAAAACTGTGGCTCCTGAAAGTTTATCCTCCGCCTGTAAAACCCTTCTGATCGCTTTGTCAGTAACACTCTATTTTCTTTGACTTAGAAGTGCATCCCTACGCCATGGGATCTGACGTGTTTCCTAGGTGCGTTTTCAACAGAAGACCGTAGGAGGGTTAACCCATGAGAGAGAGATCTCTTGCCTTTTCACAGCCCAACAGTATCGCTCTCATCTTGCTGAAAAGGTTAAGAACATCAGAGTTTGGTTTGTAGCCAGTCCCATGGATGACGCAAAGGAGACATGCACCAAAGCTATTTTCAGATTAATGAAATTACATTTGCTGCTGCCTTTCGCACCTTTAGGCTGCACTAAAGGACGACAGCATTTATCCCAAAGTTATGAGAAGCCAAAAATAAAGGTTAGGGAGCGCCCCATACAGGATTGCAGGTGCGAGCGGCAGCTCCAGCAAGCCGGCAGAATATGGAGCCAGGATGCCCCTAACGCGGTGGGCAGGAAGTGTTGAAGCCCTACAGGTGCTGATCCCCACGTGCCTGGCGATACCAGCGTGTCCTTGTGTCCCACGACACGGCTCCCCAACAGGAAAAGCTCCGTGCAATCGGCTGCTAAGCCAGGCTCAGAATTCGGGGCCGGTCACATAGAGGAGACCCTCCTCCCCTGGGCTGGCCAGC